ATTTTAAAATGATTCTGAAAAGGGGTCAATAGGGTTTAGCAGATATCCAAAGTAGCCCATGACAGAAAGAAGGTTTTGATCAGAGAACTTTTAGGGTAACTAGGTAGCACCCTGGAGTGAGTATGAACCTGCAATGGGAAGACCTGAGTTCAAAGCTGGTATCAGATACTTATGAGCTGTGTGACCCTGGGAAAGCCACTTATTCTCTATTTGTCTCAGTTTTCTAATCTGTAAAATGAATAGCATAATAGCACCTACTTCTGAAGTGTGATTGTGCGCATAAAGTGAGAATATTTATAAAGTGCTTTGTGAATCTCAAATTATAATTATTATCAAAGTTAGAGGTGATCTAGTCCAAATCTTCCATCTTATTGCTAGAGAAAACAGGCTTAGGGAGGAGAAGGTAAGGTCCTATCCCTAGGGAATAGAAAAGCTAGGATTCACAGTAATGTCCTTTGACTCTAAATCAATATACTGTTTCAACTACATGATGCTGCCTGTAGTAATTTCCCAGGTCCATTTATCTTGGGCTTTTTTGGAAGGGAGGTGGAGGTAGTGAAGGGTTTTCCCTTCCTGCACAAGACCTACAATCCTATGATTTTTTATTTATGTTACACTAGGTATGTCTTTCTCATTAACAGAGCATCATTGCAGGTGGCTGTTAGCATGTATTCAGAGTATAAAAAATGCAAGTCAAAAGGGAGCATAAAGAAAAGGAAACATTGGGAAACAGTTTTCTGAGGGCCGTGAACTTCATCTGGAAGAGCTACATGACAGTTTATTCCAATAGAGAGGCAGTAGATCTGGGAGACTGAGGAGCTGGATTTAGATCCTACCTCTCATACTGGCTACCTCTACATTCCCAGCCAATCACCGGAGTTCTCTGTACCTCAGTTTCCTACTCTATAACACAAGAGGGTTGAACTACATGATATCTAAGCTTCTTCCAGCTTTCAGTCTATGACCCCAGAGACTGTTGAGTTGGACTTCTTAGTTTTTCTATAATGATGATAACTCATTTTAAGGTTTTCAAAATGCCTTACAATAGTCTTGTGATTTAGTTGCCATCATTATATCCATTTTATAGATGGAAGAACAGTCTCAGAAAGGTTAAGAGATTGGCTCAATGTTGTACATAGAGCTTGTGGTTCATTCGTTTCAGTCATGCCCAACTCTTCATGACCCCATTTGGGGTTTTCTTGGCAAACATAATGGAGTGGTTTGCTATTCCCTGCTCTAGCTCATTTTACAAAAGAGGAAACTGAGGTAAATGGTGTTAAATGTTCACAGGGGTTAAGTTAACCCCTTGCCCAGGGTCACAGATCTAGTGTCTGAGGTCAGATTTGAACTCATGAAGATGAGTATTCAGCCTGATTTCAGGGCTTGATGTTATATCCGCTGGGCCACTTTGCTGCCCATATAGCATTTTGGTTTATTCCTCCTTGAAGCACTTACTTTGAAGTGTAAATTGTCTCTCTTCATGTTGACATCTTAAATTCTATTAGACTATGAGCTTTTTGAGGCATAGACGACGAGGAGGCATAGTAGACAAAGCATTAGACATGGAGTCAGGAACAAAAGTTCATCTCTGGCCTCAGATACTTATAGTTGTGTGACCTTGGGCAAAACACTTAACCTGTCTACTTCAATTTCCCCAATTGTAAAATGAGAGTAAGTGTAGCACCTACCTCCCAGGGTTATTGAGAGGATCAAATGAGGTAATCTTTATAGAGTACTTTGAAAAACCTTTAAGTACTCTATAAATGTTTGGTAGCCATTGTAATCAGGAAGCATGCCTTATATATTGTACTTTCTCCTTTTCTAGCATAGTACTCAAAAAATAATAGGAGCCTAATAAATGTTGATTAAGCAAGATATGTAAGATTCAAAGCCATATCCTTAGCTTTCTAAGCATTTTTGTTTCAATATGCTAAAGATGTTTCTCAGTACATCTCACCATATTTCCCCACTGGGAGTTCTTTACACCAATGAAATCATAGATCAAGACACAGCGTATATATCCCACAATATTTTCCTTATTTTTGTTTTATTTTGGAACTCCTGCTTAGAAAACTCCTGTTATCAATGCAGATTGACAACTCTTTTTCAATTTATAGTTTTTACAGTTTGCTTGGAGTGTTGGGGTAGGGTGGGGTTAATATCCAGGACTTGTCACAGTCAAAATTTGAGTGCAGGTTTTCCTGACTTAAAGACCCTAAAGGCATTGTACTGGGCTGCCTTTCAAGATACATATTCTATCGAAACAATAGCAGTGGTCACTTAGACATTGTCTGTTAAGGAAGTGACACTCCAATTTCGGTGACATTAAAGGCCTTAGAACAGCTTCTCTAGCTTTACCCTGGATCAGTTGGCATTGGGCAGGGGATAACACATGTCAATAACTCACTGGTGCATTAATACCTGATGAGAAACGAGTGTTGGGGCACTGCGACCTTGGAGCCAACAAGGACCCATGTGAATGAGTCTTTCATTTTTGCATTATTAAAGTGAAGAGTGTCCTTCCAAAGTCCAATCATGTAGAGCTATGATTGCTTAATATGTAGATGCCAACCAAAGGGATCTGTTCCATTAAGGGTATATTAAAAGCAATATAATGAAAAGTGGGAGAGCCAATAAATCTGTATATTTAGCAAGAGTCTGGAAACAAGATCATTTTTGTGCTACTCTTTCTTTTGGGATCAAAAGGCCCACTGCTTGTTTTACTATTTATGTCTTGCATGCCTTACAATATATACAGCCCATCTGAGTACCAGCAATAAAAGCTATGTGGTGTTAAACTAATTCTGAAGTATAAAATTATTTTCCAGTGAGGCAGTAATGAGTAGTAGCTAGTGAGCTAGCTAGGAAATCCTGGGTTCAAGTCTCGGCTCTAACCCATGCTGACTCTAGGTGGATTGCTTCACCTCTGTGCTCTGGGGGCAATTGTTTAAGACTATAAATTGCTGAGAAAGTACCAGCCTGCTTTGGAAGAGGGAGTTTCCTCCCCTGGGAATTCCCAATCCCAGTGAAGTTCCAAGTCACTATAATTTATAAGAAGTATTTTTTTTTTAAATCTCCTATGATAGATGGGAATATGGTCCTTTTCTAAAGATGCTGGTCTGCTTGGTTCCTGTACTAAAGAGTAGTACTTTGAAAAGAATCTGGGCTTTGGAGTCAAAGCGTGGGAATTGCAATCTCGGATCTGCCATCTCTAATAGTGCCTGGAATATAGTAAATGCTATTAACTTGTTGACTGAAGCACTAATCACCTATGTGTCCTTCCACAAGTCCTTGTTCCTCACTTTCCTTATCTGTAAAATGAGTGGTTTTGACTTGATGACTTAGAAGGGCTCCTTCAGCTCTAAGGGTCGTGTATAGAAATCATAAATTTTGTGTTTATCTCTCGTCAACAGTCTGTAATTTCGGAGAGGCTGGCAAAGAGAGACTCGTGAAGCAGAGAAATGTGGACATATCCTCTTTGCCAATAGGGAAGCTAAGTGTTGCTGTGATTAGAACGCTGGGCCTGTAGTCAGCAGGATAAGAGCTCCAGTCTGTTTTCAGATGCTTATTAGTTGTGACCCTCCGTAATGCATTTAACCTTGTTACATCAATTTCCTCATCTGAAAATTAGGGTTAATAACAGCATCTGCCTCCCAGGTTTGTTGTGAGGATCAAATGAGATAATATTTGTAAAGCAGCTAGCTCAGTGCCTGGCACATAGTAGGTACTTCATAAATACTTATTTAGTTCTTCCTAATGGATGTTACAAGGAGTTTTTTGGTAAATATTGAGTTTTTCTTTTTAACAGATGTAAGACAACTTTTTTTTTACCAGTCCCCTTACCAGTTGATAAAAAATTCTCGTTTCTAAAGGCCGCTCATTAAGATCAGAAACCATTGTAATTTACAGTCTTAGATAGTTGCCTGGCCCTCAGATAGTGAATTGTCTAGAGTCAGCCAGGCTTTAAGCTTCAGAGGTAAGACTTGAATCCAGACCACTCCCTCCAGGCCCATTATTCTGTTTCACAGGCCATCTGTCTAATCACTAGCAATGGCAACTGAATCTCTGGTCCCATTTATAATCATGTCAAGTTCGTAAGCTTTAGAGTGCGAGAGAGTTTTAGAGGCCATCTTGTCTTAAGCAAGAAGCCATGGCCCAGAGAGGTCACAGGGTCATAAGCCTAGAAGTAGAAGGGACCGAAGAGGCCATCTAGCCAACCCCCCTCATTTTACAATTCCATCATTTTACAGATGAGGAAACTGGAGACCAGAGAGGTGGTGACTTGTTCAAGATCACACAGCCAGCATACGTGACAGCCAAGAATCCAAGTCTTTGGACTCCAAAACCAGCACCCTTTCTCTCTCTCTTCTCATCCCCACCCCCATGCAACCTTCCCTTCAAGCTACTCAAGTTTCAAGCAATAATAGCAGTTAGAGTAGAAAAAAAAAGAGAGAAAACAGGAGAATTTAATTAACATTTATTTGTCCAGTCCTGTAACCTGTCTGATACTGAATAAAACATGGAGAAAGATATAGTCACTGCTTACTACAACTTAAGTACTCGTAACAGTAACTCTGGGAAGTAATAAGCCAATTAAAAACGCAAAATAAACCACAGTCATAATAGATTCCAAGTATCTGTTAGCATTCAAGCCACGGATCTGCATTCTATTCAGTCTTGTAGTAAGGTAACCTGGGCACATCTTCCTACCATGAATTAGATGTAGAATACCAAGAGACGGAGTAGTATTATAATAATTCCCTCAATTCCCTAGGGCTCTTTATTTCTCAATTTTGTAGGATTCTTTGGGTTTCTTTGTTCAGGTAGATTCAACACACAAAAATATTTCTTCAAAATAAATTTGGGATCCAATTTTCAGTTCCGAGATTTTTAATGAATTTCTATGTTCTCTTGCCTGCTTCAGATAGCAGCTATTTTATATTCTCCTCCATGATGTAGAAACAATGACTTACCTTTTGCTTTGTTTGCTTGTTTTTAAGGTGGCTAATCTCGCTTGTTCCCTGTCTGCAAATGAAGATGGGATTAAAATAGTCAAGACAGCAGCCAGTCACATGGAGACATTGTGCCCCCAGGTAGGAAGAATAAATATTGATTGTCCTCAGCATTAAAATTGCTATAGAAACTGTGTGCTTCACCCAAGAGCAAAACTGGGGTCGGTTATTGGAGCTTTGTTCTAAGGAGCTGATGTCAGGGGGTGCAGGTACTCCTTAGAGATTATATACTCCCACTGAATGCTGATTTCCTTAAACCTGATAGTCCTTAGGCCTTCTCAGTTAAGAAAGACTCCATCATTAGCCCCCAAACCAAAGAGCCTTTTATCCTGGTTCCCATCTTTCCACTCTCTACTTTGTATCAACCTGGTCGAGTCTTTCTCAATGACAGGCTATCCCTTATCACAGTACACTTATACCTACTTATCTGTTGTCCTCAGCTCCATCCCTATTCCAGCCTCTAGTCACTATGGAATGTCCCTTTTTTGCCCCCTCATTCCAACCTTCATACTCTCTTTTCTACTACTTGCACAGTCCCTCCCCAAACTGTAGGTAAAAGAATTTTTAGTTACAGATCTACTCTGCCCTAGACTGTATGTTATATTTATGACTATGTCTTTAGCTGCAGTCTACATCATATGTTCTTGATTACATTGATTTAAATTCTTTCTCCATTGATACAGTCTGCAACCCTACCATGCTTTAAAGGATGATTTTATGAGCTTTTGGGCCCCCAAATTAAAAAAGAAAAACTAAAGCAAAGTAAAATGTTATCCACTGGCCACCTATACTGCGTGCTACACAATAGTAGAGTAGCCCAGTTAGAGAGCAGAGGGCCCCATTCAATCATTCCTCTCAGCCTTATTTTTCTCACCCATTAAGTAGGATTAATCACACCTGCAGTGCCCACTTCATGGGGCTGTTCTGTAGCTTAAGTGGGATAATTTGTGTGACACTCAATTCAAATGTCAGCTCTCGTTATGCTATGTAGAGAGGAAAAGATGGAGAGAATGAGTGAATTCCAAGAAGCCTCCCCAGGCCATCCCTGCTTCAGGGAGAGTAACGTACAATCACTCCGAAATAGCAATAATTTGCCAGACTCCAAGCCCACTGCCCTTGTCCTTGCACTGTGTTGCTGCTTAGATTAAAAAAAAGGCTTTTATAAGTTTTTTTTTAAAGGTTATTCAGAAACAAGATGCTAATGCTTAGCTCAATGCCCCCTTCTCGAAGCCCTTTTGTCAAAGAGTAGCACAGGTTTTAGATTCCAAGAGCTTTCCTTGGACAGTTTTCAAAGATAGTTTGATTAAGTTGGGAAGAATATGGAAGGTTGAAGGTATTAGTATAAAGGGAATAACCTTCATAGGATCATAGATTTACAGCTAAAAGTGACCTTAGAGTTCATCAAATTTCATCTCTGTGTGTTAGAGAAGAACCCGCTCTCTGCACAGCTTAAGAGATTTCCTGAAGGATAAAGTAGGACAGCTGGGATGTGAACCCAGGTCCCCAGACTCTAAAGCTGCCTTGCTATTTACTGCAGTTGGCTGGCTGGTTTCTAAAATCTAAAGGCATTCGTGTCCACCTGAGACATTCCAGAGTTCCCTCCTTCCGCAAGAAGCCTGTCCCAGCCCTTACCTCCATTAATCCTGTACGTATCGTGTTAGTACATCATTATTTGCACGTTGTTTCTCCTTTTTGATTTTGAACTCCTTGAGGCCAGGGTCTATTTTTGCCTTTCTGTCTGCATCACTTAGCACAATGCCTGGCACTTAGTGCTTAATAAAGGCATTTTGATTTGATTTGACTTGCAATATGCCCTTGGCGCTGGGGCTACTACAATATAAAACAATCCCTCAGGGAGTTCATAGTCTACCATGAAAACCAACATTATTCAATCTGATCCACTCATCTGGCAATTGGGGAAGTGACCTAACTCCCAGGAGAGGTTTCTCCATGATATAAAACAGTCTGAGCTGCCTCTGATAAATATTTTTGATAAATAGATTAATTGATTGATGAAATGTGACTTTGAGTGGTTCTTTGCTATTACTTTCTTGGGCACAAACAGTGCTGCTGCTTTATAAGAGCCCCTGATCTGATTTAGATATAAAATATAGCAGCTTTTAGGAATTACCCAAACAAGGGCATTGGGCCATCTCATGCAGGTAGAGAAATATCACTTGATTTTCATGTTGCTGTGATCGAGGAACTGTCATCACTGAGATGAGAGAGTACTTCATTTTCCAACCTCTTGTTCTCAAAAAGCAAATTTGCTTGTTACCTTTCACATGCCATAGATAAGGATGGATGTGTCAGTATGCAACTAAACTATATGAGCTTGAAATAGTCTGGAGTAGCCATGTTCCTTAGGTATTCCAGTGTTTTCTGCCTTTGGCAGTGTTCGTATATCTTGCTTCCATGATAATAGAGTCTTCAGAGAATGATAGATGGATAGACAGATAGACACATGATAAATAAATAGGCAAATAGATAAATAATAAATAGACAGATAGATGAAAGATAGCTGATAGATAAATAAGTAGATGAGATATAGAAAGAGGATAGATAATAGCTAGAAGATAGCTAGTGGATAGATGATAGATAATAGATTAGATTGAGATAGATAATAAATAGACAGATAGTTTGATTTAGTCTGCCAACGCTGAGAGCAGTCCTTAGAGACAAAGCCCTAGGTTCGAGTCCTGCCTCTGACACACACTGGCAGTGTGACCCCAGATAAGTCACAGCCCAGGCAGCTCTCAGACTATCATACAGTAGTTGCCAGTGGCTCTCTATTACTTGTGGGATCAAATACAGACACCTCTATTGAACTGATTCATCCCTTTTCGACCTGGCCACAACCTACCTTTCCAGTTTATTCCGCATTATTTCCTATCCTACTCTCTCTGCTTGAGGCAGACTGGCTTTCTTGCCATTCCTCACAAACAATGTTCCATATCCCTTCTCTGTATCTTTGCCTTGGCTATCCCTCGTGCCTAGAATGCACTTTCTCATTACTTCTGCTTCTTAAAACAAACTCAGATCAAATTCCACCTTTTTCATGTAGCCTTTCCTGATTCCCCAGCTGCTATGTCCTTTCCTCCAGATTGCCTTGCAATTATTTGATTTACAGTTTGTATGGACCTACATATTTCTGACCTTATTTGTGCCCTGATAAAATACACACTCTTTGAGGGCAGTGACTTTTTTCAGTGTGCCCAGCACGCAGCCCAGTGTCTCAGAGGTACTTAACAAGTGTTTATCAACTGGAAAACAAATGAAGGTGGTTTCCCAAGTGGTAATTCCTACCATCAATGAAATTATAGGTTCAGATCAACAAATATGAAGATCTTTTAAAAAAGAGAGAAAGTCACATGATTGCAATTACACAAGACTAGTATGGTGCCTCCAAGAAGGGGTCACTAAATTGTGGATCATGGTCTACTGGCCAATCACCCTTCTGCCTCTAGGTCCATATTCCTTAAAAAATCATTTTTAGGACCTGCCTGGGCTTACATTCCACTAACAAAGCCTCTGAGATCCCATGATCACTCCTATCCATCATGAGACATCAGGCAGGGAGTTTAGCTAAGGATTTGTTTTACTGGCTAAGGACAATTAGACTTTGTGTTTCACCAGTAACACAGAACGAAAAGGAGTTTTCAGTAATTCTTTTGAAAGTTTGATTTGATTCCATTGCTTTTTGTTTGGAATGATCTTGTGATTCTGTGACTTTTATTAACATTTTCTGGAATTTATGTACCCTGATAGAATTTAAACTCTTGAGAATAAGGCTTGCTATGTTCTTGTCTCTCTACCTTCCTCAGTCCTGGAATAATCTTAAGTGCTCAATAATTTTTTGTTGATTGATTGACTTGCACATGTATATGTTCTCACTGATATTTTGCGTACCTAAACCAAAGACAGTAATTATATATCCCCAAGGAAATCATCGCCAGCATGTGTATGGCACTTCACAAATGTTACATGACTTGTTCCTCACAAAAACCCTGTAAAGTAGGTGCCACTATTACACATTTACAGTTGAGGAAACTGAGGCAAGCAATGGTAAAGTGATTTGTCTAGGGCCATGCAGCTAGTAAGTATCTGAAGTCGGATTTGAACTCAAGTAAAACTCAACTGAATTTGAACCCAACTCAATCAGCTGTACCATCCAGCTACCTCTAAAAAAGGATGATTTCAAATATCATTGATAATAAAAACACAAGATGGCTTCAATTTCTATGCTGCCACTAATAGTCAAGGAAGCAGTATCCATACTGAGGAATCTTGGGTTGGTTAGGGTGTTTCTGCTGTTACTTTGAAGATGAGGCAGAAATGAAATTGCTGGCAGCCTCAGGATGTTTCTCCAAATTGAGAAAGTCTGTGGCTGCTCCTCCTCAGAACTTTGCTTTGAAGGTTAATATGAAAACAGACCTGTGACCATATGCCCTTCAAATCACGACAGGCTTTATAGCAATACCATCTCTCACCAAAGCCCCTTTCAAAAGCCTCATCCTTCAATTTATCTGTTCTTTTGTTGTTACTCATCATTGTCATTTTCTGTGGCCCCTGCAGACAAAATGAACCTGGGGTCTTGATTTCCTATGGGTTTCTCCTTTTTATCCTTCATACTTGGTAATGCCAATGACCTCAAAAAGCCAGGTTTAGTTTTTGGAGTCTTTTCCAGGCTATTACAGTGGGGGCAGAATGGTTTCCACTTGGAACTGGGAGGTCAGAATTTTCAATTGAATCTGTGCCTGTTGGAGAACAAGTTGGTGAGGAGGTAGATTTAATATATTTTTTTTGTGAATGACTTTGAAGAAATCTAGTTTTGTTGTAGATTGGCTTGGCTCCTTTAAAAAGTCTGTTTGTCTATTGTTGAGGCATTCTCTGGAAGAAAACGCCTTGAAAAAGAACTGGGAAAGACACAGGAACTAATTGTGGTCTCTGATATTGAAGGGTCAAAGTTCAGATGGAGAGAAATGGTAGAGTGAAAGGCCTGAGAATGGATACAAGGCTGGTTGCCTCAAACAGAAGGGTAAGTTAAAGTTGGAGAATGAAAGAGAGTAGGTCAAAATACT